TGAGGATTAGACCCAAATAAAATTTAAATTCGGAAAACGTAATGAGTTTCCATGCGACTGGTTTGGCAAGGTTTGAATTTGGGTTGGTGGCAATAAATTGTTGTGCATATAAATTGCATTGATCCACAATCAACACATACAGATATTCCGTGAAAAACTCCAAAAATCAAGAGTAGTTCAATTTGCCATTTCCACCTGAATTCCAGGTTGGCCAGTGAATGGGGGAAGTACAGGTGCTGCAGAATTTATGGGCTGTCAATCGGGATTTGCAAGCACATCCGGGGATACTAGGAGCCCTATGGGCCTGTGTGTGAATTCTTGGTGGCTGCGGGACAATATTTGTGCTCACCACCGCACAGGCTTGTACTGGACTTACGGGACTCGCCACATCACCAAGTCATACTGCAGTGCTGGTATTATTATTATACAGGATTTATATGGCGCCAACAGTTTTCTCAGCGATTTACAGTATAACCGGAGACAATACAGCAACAATACAGTTCAATACAAGAGGGTCAGGAGGGCCCTGATCCTGGGAGCTTACAATCTAAGAGATATGTGAAAGACCAAGATGTACTAGACTGCTGGTGCTCGCCAGTTCACCAAAAGGTAGCGTGGCACTAGTACTGGCACTCTGCTGCATATGAGAGTCCTCAAAATTTACCAACAAGTGCTAACAGAGATCAGGCCTGATTCTGCCAACACTGCGGATTTGTGTGCAATGTATCAAGTGACAGAGACCTACTGACACTGCACTTGCTGGGGAAGCGGGGGGGGGGGGGGGGTTAAGCGTAGGGGCTAAACGCAGGTGCTGGGGCTGATCCTGCTAACACTGCATTTTTGAGGACGCTATACTAATGTCTGGTATAGTACTGATCTGATCAAAGATATTGATCCGTTCAGACACTATACTAGCAATGGAGGTTTATTGTGCATGAGCGTGTTCTTGGCAGTCAAGGGGATAAATGTGATCACTGGTGTACTGACAGGCAATCTGACGCCATCTGGGAGGGGCGTGAAAACCACTGGAGCACAAATCATGTGTATATAAATATATACATATATATGTGTGATTGTGCGCACTTGTGTCGCCCTGTAGCGGTATTTCTGCTATAGGGCAATCAGGAAGCGGTTACAGAAGCAGTTTGTGTTATGGCGCTGCGTTACTTTAACTGAGAATTGCGCGGTCATGCAACACTGCACCCAAATTAAATTTACGTCCTTTTTTTCCCACGAATTGAGCTTTCTTTCGGTGGTATTTGATCGCCTGTGTGTTTTTATTTTTTGCGCTATTAAAAAAAAGGCTGACAATTTTGAGAAAAAAAAAACAATATTTTGGACTTTTAGCTATAAAATATGTCCAGTAAAAAAATTAAAAAAATCAAATGTTGCCATAAATTTTGGCCAAAATGTATTCTGTGACATGCCTTTGCTAAAAAAAAATCCCAATACGTGTAAATTAATTGGTTTATGTGAACGTTATAGCATCTACAAATGGCGGGAAAGATACTGGGATTTTTTTTTTTATAATAATAATGGCGGCAATTAGCGACTTATGGCGGTGATCAGCGATTTATGACAGTGATCAGCGACTTATGGCGGGACTGCGGCGAACATTTTGTCACTGGGTGGGAACTAACTTGGGGTCATTGACATCCCCAGTGACAATAACAGTGATCAGTGAAAAAAAAACAAAACACTAACACTGCACTAATGGCACTGGGGAGGAAGGGGTTAACATTGTTATTCAATCAAAGGGTTAACTGTGTGAGGGGAGTGTTTTACTAGTGGGCGGGGGGTGTGTACTTCACAGGAACACAATGATTCGGAGAGCTAAACTCTGCTCTCAGGATCAGTGTGTTGGGAACTGACAGGGAGCAGAGCTGCAGTGTAAACACTGCAGCTCTGCTCCCTGTCAGTGATTGCCAGTAATCGCGCGGGACCCGGAGGGTAATGACCGGCCACGACCGGCGGCGCGGGTTGGGGCGGGCGTGCGCCCCCTACCTGTTTTGCAAAATGAAATTTTAAAATGTTATTTTGCACAGGGGTGCTGCCCTGTGGCCGTTTTTGTACAGTGGCTGGTTGGCAAGCAGTTGTGTCAGTATTTATTTAGGCAGAACTGAAAGTTGAGTCCTAAAATTAAAACCTGACATTGTATTAGTCCTCATGCACACTGGACGTTTTTGCAGCTGCTGTTTTTGGCTTTTTACGTTTTTTCTACAACCAGTAAACTCCCCAGCATGCTATCCTTTGTGTTCCTGCACACATAGACTAATCAACGTTTTTCGGCTGGAAAAAAAAACCCAGAACTAGTGGGTTTCTAGAGGAGTTTTTTAGCTATAAAAATGCTCTAACACTGAAGAACACTGCAAAACACGGTAAACCGTGGTAAATCGCGGCAAACCAGCATTTTTGGTAAAAAAAAAAACACCGCTAAACGCTAATACAAAAACGCTGAAAAACTCACGATTTTTAACATGACTTTACACAGTTAACGTTACCAGCATTTTTAAAACATCCAGTGTGCATGGAGCCTTAATACTGTATGTGCAGAATCAGGGGGTGTACCAGTAAGTTTCAGCTTTAACCCCAACCCGGCAGCACTTATCTCGTCTTATTTTTTCAGCAAAGGTTTTACTGCAAATTGTTCACTAGCTTTAAGAGGCTTTTATTCCCTAAAGCTTATCATATTGTGTGTAATAAGCATATTTGTTAGATAGTCTAATAGGTCTTTTAGTTAGATTTTATAGTAGATATATCTAAACTACAGCATGTAGCCTAATCATGCTGTATCCTCATTTCAGCTTACCCCAATACATTTTTCCTGCATTTGGGTTGCAAGCAACCCATTCTGAGCAGTTTTGTATGGTATTGTGTGGTTGAGTAGTATATCACTCCTTTTGCTGGCGACAAGTGATTGCAAATGTTCAAAGATACGTACTATGGAAAGCACAGCTCCATTTATTTATATGCCACAAACGCCAACATTTTTACCTTTCTGGGTATATATCAGAACTCTTACCAGTACATAGGTGAACAGTTATACATTCCTCTAATAAGGACAGTCTCTTTTTTCCAATGTTCTAAGTAACATAACAGGCATACGTGTTTCAGTAGAGCAAGGTCCCCAACAGGTACATTGGTGAAACCTTCACAAAGAGTACAGTTGATGTGCAGAGTCCCAAAAAGATATTGGAAAATTTAATGTGGTTTACTCTCCAGTAATAATTTCACATTTGTATTCTCTAAGGTTTACCCATCCTTTGATGCTTGGTTCAGGTGTGCACACAACAGGAATCCCTCATCCAGCCATAATGCCTCACTCAGGGAGCAAAGAGATGGACTGTTATGACAGGAACATGTGAGTATATGAATATACTAAATCATTCTCGGTACTTTGAATGTCAAACCTCTTTTTAACCACTTGCCTAAAGGGTACTTATACCATCTTCCTGCCCAGGCCAATTTTCAGCGCTGTCGCACTGACAATTGCGCGATCATGCAACACCCATATGAACTTTATATCATTTTTTTTTAGACAGAGCTTTATTTTAATGTCATTTAATCACCTCTGGGTTTTTTATTTTTTGCTAAACAAACCAAAAACTGAAAATTTTGGGGAAAAAAAAGTTTTTTCTTAGTTTCTGTTATAAAATTTTGTAAATAAGTGATTTTTCTCCTTCACTGATGTGCGCTAATGAGGCTGCAGTGATGGGCACTGATAGGCGGTACTGATGGGCACTGATGAGGAGGCACTGGTAGGTGGCACTTATGGGCATTGACAGGCATCACTGATGGGCACTGAAAGGCAGCAATCATATATGGCACTGATAGGCGGCACTGACTTTCACTGTTAGGTGGCACTGACTGGCACTGTTAGGTGGCACTGATGCGCACTGATAGCCTGCACTGACTGGCACTGATAGGTGGCACTGAAAGGCAGCTCAGATGGTCACTGATATGTGGCATTGATGGGCACTGGTAGGCACTGATATGTGGCATTGATGTGGCACTGATGGGCACTGGCAGATGGCATTGATGGGCTCCAACAGGTGGCATTGATGGGCATTGACAGGTGGCACTGCTGGGGCTACACTGATCATCAGGGGACACTGATCATCAGTGCCTTGATCATCAGTGTACATATCCCCTTTGAGCAACGTGACAGCTTGTGAGGAGAGAAATGCTGATAACCGGCATTTCCTTATTTACATGCGATCAGCTGTGATTGGACACAGCTGATCACATGACAGAGCCGACGTCTTGGGCTCTTTCCATTGATCGGTGATCCGCTGTGTCCCAGGGAGGCGCGCATGCGTGGTTAGAGTGTGAGAATGTCATATGACATACTCCCAGAACGAGAGAACCGCCTTGCGCCCGTCATTTCCTTATATGGCGGGTGGGAGGTAGTTAAAAAAATTGCTTTCCTTGTTCCCTTTCACTGAGCTTATCCACTGTCATGATGTTCTGTTCAGGGAAGATGACTTGATGCCCTTGAAGACAACAGAGTGATACAAAGGGAGAGATGTACTAAAAGTGGTGAACACAGAATCTGGTGCGGCTGTGCATAGTAACCAATCGGCTTCTAGATTTTGTCAGAATTTATTGAACAAGCTGAAGTTAGAACCGGTTTGGTTACTATACAAAAATGCACCAGATTCTGTATGTACCAGTTTTAGTAAATCTCCCCCATATTCTGTAGTGAGACACAAGGTTGAAATTGTGTTTCATATCTCCCTCATGTACAGTAGGGCAAAACTGGAAAGAGAAGTAATCATTCGGTTTCTAAAATTTCCCTGGCACCTCTTGTTTAACCACCTCCCGCCCGCCATATAGTAATATGACGGGCGCAAGGTGGCTCTCTCGTTCTGGGAGGACGTCATATGACGTCCTCCCATTCTCACTGCGCATGCGCGGCTCAGGGAGCACGCAGCGCGGCGATCGGCGGTGCGCTGTGTCCCTCGGACACAGCGGATCACCGATCACGGAAAGAGCCGAAGATGTCGGCTCGGTCATGTGATCAGCTGTGTCCAATCACAGCTGATCACATGTAAACACGGAAATGCCGGTTATCGGCATTTCTCTCCTCTTGAGCTGTCACGCTGACAGCTCGAGAGGAGAGGAGAGATGGTAATCGGCTTTCCGCGGAGGGGACATGTACACTGATCATCAGGGCAATGATGATCAGTGTGGCCCCAGAAGTGCCACCTGTCAGTGTCCGTCAGTGCCTCGTGCCAGTGCCCATCAGTGCCACATATCAGTGCCTACCAGTGCACACAATGCCACATATAAGTGCCCATCTGAGCTGACTTTCAGTGTCGCCCATCAGTGCCAGTCAGTGTCACCTATCAGTGCTGCCTATCAGTGCGCATAAGTGGCGCCTATCAGTGCCAGTCAGTGCCGCCTAACAGTGCCGGTCAGTGCTGCCTAACGGTGTCAGTCAGTGCCGCCCATCAGTGCTGCCTATCAGTGCCATGTATCAGTGCTGCCTTTCATTGCCCATCAGTGATGCCTGTCAATGCCCATCAGTGCCACCTACCAGTGCCCCCTCATCACTGCCACCTATCAGTGTCCATCAGTGCAGCCTATCAGTGCCCATCACTGCAGCCTCATTAGCACACATCAGTGAAGGCGAAAAATCACTTATTTACAAAATATTATAACAAAAACTAAGAAAAAACATTTTTTTTCAAAATTTTAAGTGGTTTTGGGTTTGTTTAAGAAAAACTAAAAAACCCAGAGGTGATTAAATACCACCAACATAAAGCTGTCACAAAAAAATGATAAAAATGTCATATAGGTACAGTGTCGCATGACCGCGCAATTGTCATTCAAAGTGTGACAGCGCTGAAAGCTGGAAATTGGCCTGGCAGGAAGGGGTATAAGTGCCCAGTAGACAAGTGGTTAATTGTGGTAGCACATTAACAAATACTACTGTGCTATGTTCAGTGCATTTCTCTAACCATAACTTTTATTTTTGATATACTTGGGAAGGGCTTAACCCCCTGTAATGTTTGAATTTTACTTGTATTTTCAATGTAGATATTTCCCCTCATTTATTGTTTCCAATCGGGGGTGAAATCTTTCAATTAGGGTTACAGGCAGTATAAAAATTTAGAACAGTAAGAACTGTGAAAAACCTAAATAGTTAAATCTATGTGCTCTTCTATTACAGCCCTACAGGGCAGGGCTATGCATGCACAACCTGCTATCTTGACGTTTTTTGAGTGCCTGGACAGACAGAAGTTGGGAGAATGCTACCATCTAGTATGGGAACTGCTATTATATTAACTTAGTCTTGTTTTGGGAGATGAGGAGGGGAGTAGTAGCCTGATATTACAGTTTGTGGAGGGCAGAGAACCTCATGTGTCTCAATTTTTTTATCCACCTTTATGCAGTTTACTTACATAAAGACTGCAACAATAACATTTTTACACCATTGTACCTAAGACACAGTTTACTTACTGTAGGACAACAATGTGCATTGTGTACACCCATCAGCCAATACATATTAATATATGAATTACCATTTACAATAAGTTGGGTTTTTTTTTTAATAGATTAGAGTGATAGGTAGTCACTGCACCACATCCATATAATATACTTGTCCCATTTTTTTATTTTTTTAAGCTTAAAACATAATAATCATTAAAATTAACCCCTATGTATTGCATATGAATAATTAAAAACCATATATGTATGTTCAACATATTTAATGGGTATGCTTCGCACTCCTCTTATATAGGTTCACTGTACACTGTGTGCACAATTAGTCAAGTTGTATTTTTGAGGATTAATTTCATTATTGAACAACTACAGCTCTCTCAGTCAATCCAAAATGTTAATAAACCTCAAACTTGAATATTTAACCACTTCCAGTCCGGACACTTTTACCCCCTTCCTGTCCAGGCCAATTTTCAGCTTTCAGTGCTATCACACTTTGAATGACAATTGCGTGCTCATGCAACACTGTACCCATGTGAATTTTTTAGCATTTTTTTGAGACAGATAAAGCTTTATGTTGGTGGTATTTATTCACCACTGGGATTTTAATTTTTCTTGCTATGTAAATTAAAAAGTCCAAAAATTTGAAAAAAAGTGTTTTTCTTATAAAAGTTTGCAAATAAATAGTATTTCATCATAAATCTTGGCCAAATTTTTTTCTGTTATATTTTTAGTAAAAAAAATAACCCAAATTAGTTTATAACCAAAAATTATCATTTTTAAACATTTCTTATTACTTTTTTTTTTTATATATATATATTTTTTTTTTTTTTTACATACTGTCACCCCAGTAGTACAGTGACGTACTACAATAGTACAGTAGTACGTGAAAGTTATAGCATCTACAAATGGTGATATATATATATATATATATATATATACTATATACTGGAATTTTTTAAATTATTATTTATTTATACTAGTAATGGCGGTGGTCAGCGACTTATAGTGAGGCTGTGGCGGGCATTCTAACACTGGAGGGGAACTAGCATAACTGCCACTGACATCCCAATGACGCTAATACAGTGATCAGTGCTAATAAAAAGCACTGACACTGTACTAATGACACTGGGCAGGAAGGGGTTAACATCTGGGGCAATCAAAGGGTTAACTGCTTTCTTTGCTGTGTTTTGTGCTGTGTGTGTGTTTTACTAGGGAAACCTTCTACTGTGTATTTCTCTGCTGTGCAGAGAAATTCACAGCAGCATGTTACTGCTGGCAGGAGAGAGACCTGTGTTGATTACACACAGGTCTCTCCCCTGTCACTTTTCCTCAGTGATCACCAGGTGCCGGTGGGGAATCTCTGGCCGGGACCCGGAAATCGACATCTGTAGCTGCCAATGGCGGCGTGTGCTCACGCCCCCTACCCGGAAATGCACAATCACGTATATATACAGTTGCAAGAAAAAGTATGTGAACCCCTTGGGATTACGTGGAGTTTTGCATGAATTGGGCATAAAATGTGCTTTGAACGTCATCTAAGTCACAACAATAGAAGAACACAGTCTGCAGAACATAATACTACACAAACATTAGATGTTGCCATGGTTTAATTGCACATAACATGTAAACATTCACAGTGCAGGGAGGAAAAAGTATGTGAGGCCCTAGCTTAATGACTTCTCCCAGAGCTAATTGGAGCCAGGAGTGAGCCAACCTTGACTCCAATCAGTGTGATGATATTGGATGTGTTGCTGACAGCTGTCCTGCCCTTAAAAAACACACACCTGTTTTGGGTTTACTGGTTTCAAGAAGCACTGTCTGATGTGAACAATGCCTCGCAGAAAAGAGCTCTCAGAAGACCTATGATCAAGAATTGTTGACTTGCATGAAGCTGGAAAGGGTTACAAAAGTATCTCCAAAAGCCTTGATGTTCATGTGTCCACGGTAAGACAGACTGTCTACAAATGGGGAAAGCTTAGCACTGTTGCTACTCTCCCTAGGCGTGGTTGTCCTGTAAAAATTACTGCAAAAGCACAGCGCAGAATGCTGCATGAGGTAAAGAAGAATCCCAGAGTGTCAGCTAAAGACCTACAAAAATCTCTGGCACATGCTAACATTTTTGTTGACACATCTACAATAAGGAAAACATTAAACAAGAATGGAGTACATGGGAGGACACCACGGAGGAAGCCATTGCTGTCCAAAAAGAATATTGCAGCACGTTTGAAGTTTGCAAAAGAGCACCTGGATGTTCCACAGCACTACTGGCAAAATATACTGTGGACAGATGAAACCAAGATTGAGTTGTTTGGGAAGAACACACAACACTATGTGTGGAGAAAAAAAGGCACAGCACACAAAACCTCATCCCCACTGTAAATCTTGGCGGAGGGAGCATCATGGTTTGGGGCTGCTTTGCTGCCTCAGGGCCTGGACGGATTGTTGTCATTGATGGGAAAATGAATTCCAGAGTTTATCAAGACATTTTGCAGGAAAATGTACGACCATCTGTCTGCCAACTGAAGCTCCGCAGAGGATGGGTGATGCAACAGGACAATGACCCAAAGCATACAAGTAATTCAACAAAACAATGGCTGCAACAGTACAGAATACGCCTTCTGGAGTGGCCCAGTCAGAGTCCTGACCTCAACCCGATTGAAATGCTGTGGCATGACCTTAAGAGAGCGATTCACACCAGACATCCCAATAATATTGCTACACTGAAACAGTTTTGTGAAGAGGAGTGGTCCAAAATTACTCCAGATCGTTGTGCAGGTCTGATCTGCAACTACAGGAAACGTTTGGTTGAGGTTATTGCTGCCAAAGGAGGGTCAACCAGTTAGTCCAAAGGTTCACATACTTTTTCCTCCCTGCACTGTGAATGTTTACATGTTATGTGCAATTAAACCATGGCAACATCTAATGTTTGTGTAGTATTATGTTCAGCAGACTGTGTTCTTCTATTGTTGTGATTTAGATGACGTTCAGAGCACATTTTATGCCCAATTCATGTAAAACTCCACGTAATCCCAAGGGGTTCACATACTTTTTCTTGCAACTGTACATGATTTTGCGCAGCCCTGTAGCAGTAGTTCTGCTATAGGGCGGCAGGAAAGCAGTTACATTAGATTCACACCTAAGTGTTATCTGCCGCGTTTTTCAAAAAGGCAGAACAGTCCATTTAATATTATTTCCTATGGGACAGGTTCACATCTCCACGTTTTCACCCGATGCGTTTTTTGGAAAGGGTCAGGGACTTTTTTGAACGCAAAACGTTGCATTTTTGGTTCTATAGACTTCGGTGGAAACACTGCAGAAAAGCATGTATTGCGTTTTTTTCCGGTTTTTGATGCATTTTAAATCTGCCTAGCAACAAGAAAAATAAAGAAACGCAACACAAAACGCAATGCAGAAATGCCTCAAACACAACCTGCATAGGTGTGAACCTAGACTTTAATCAATTTTATTTTTACTTTTTTGGGCAGGGCAGCTTGTTCTGTTGGAAAAAACAGACTTACTGCCTAGATTACCACAGGTGAAAATAAGAAATTAAAACATAAAACTAGTGCAGCCACCACATCTAAAAATTGATAAGCTGCTATAGTATAAATGTTTGCTTTAGGGCTTAACCATTTGCCTACCAGGCACTTATACCCCCTTCCTTACCAGGCCAGTTTTCAGCTTTCAGCACTGTCGCACTTTGAATGACAATTGCGCAGTCATGCAAAATTGTACCCATATGAAATTTTTATCATTTTTTTTCTCATAAATAGAGCTTTCTTTTGGTGGTATTTAATCATTCGCTGGGTGTTTTACTTTTTGCGCTATAAACAAAAAAATTGCAAAAAATTTGAAAAAAAAGTTTCTTTGTTTCTATTATAAAATTTTGCAAACAAGTAATTTTTCTCCTTCACTGATGTGCCTTGATGAGGCAGCAGTGATGGGCACTGATAGGCAGCACTGAAAGGCACTGATAGGCAGCACTAATGAGGTGGCACGGATAGGCGGCACTGATGATGGGTACTGATAGTCAGCACTGATAGGCGGCACTGCTAGGCATTGACTGGCGCAACTGCTGGGCACTGACTGGCACAACTGCTGGGCACTGACTGGTGGCACTGACTGGCACAACTGCTGGGCACTGACTGGTGGCACTGCTGGGCTGCACTGATGGGTGGCACTGGTGGGCACAGGTGGGTATCACTACTGGGAACAGGTAGGTGGCACTACTGGGCACAGGTAGGTGTCACAGCTGGGTGGCACTGATAAGCACTGGTGGGGGGCACTGCTGGGTGGCACAGGTGGGCTGCACTGCTGGGCACAGGTGGACGGAGCTGGTGGGTGGCACTGCTGGGCACCGATCATCAGGGCACTGATCATCAGTGCCCTGATAATCGGTGCTGATCCCTGCTCTGACAACTGCCGATTCTTATGACGCCCTCCCAGAACTGGCCGGCCGCAGTGCAGCCGTCATTCGGCTATCTGCGGTCGGCAACTGGTTAATATCACTTTAAGGCATAATGCCTGGAAAACCTATTACTCATAAATACTTTCAGAACATGAGTTCTGTGTTGGCAGATTCTGTTCTGTTTCTATGGGGTTCTGCCAACATATTGCAGGCCACAGGAATATTCTATCAATATATTACATGGTTTGTAATACCCTTAATAAATTATTTTATTAGGAAGATGTCTTTTTGTACTCAAAAGAAGGGATGGATTGTGTTCAGTTGCTAAATATATTAAGTCTGTTCTTTTGGTTGTGGGGTTTTTTTTTTTTTTTGTTTTTTTTTTTTGTCTTTTGGCTTCCAGGCAGATGATAGGTTTTAACCCCTTTACGACAGCTTAACACATATATGCCGCATCCAGGAGTTGGGCTTTAAACCTGTGCACTGCTTATATGTTCCTTTGTGCTGTGAGCTCCCAGCCCTTGCTCAAGGCTTTCCATGACAGCCCCGGGTCTCCTGCTAACAATCGGGACCCTGGGGAACCAGATCCTTGTCACATGATTGATGTGATAGCCTCTGATTGGCTATCACATTAATCCTTCATTCTGCATTTGCTGCCTGTGTTCTCTTGTCTGTGAAGAGGAAAGACATCAGACTTCTCTGCTAGCGAGGAGAAAAAAATACAATACATCTATTTCTCCTCTAGAGGAGATGTTTACACAAAAAAGTCTGTTGAAGAAAAAAAAAAAATAAAAGTTAACTAGTTCAGTGCTTGACTTATTTTAGTGAGCATAGGTGTCAGTGTTAGTGACAGTGGGGTTTATTTACTAAAGCTAGAGTGTTCAAAATCAGGCTCACTTCTTCATATAAACCAATCAGTTTCCATGTTTTTTTTTGCCAAAGCTTAATTGATCCAGCTGATATTAGAAGCCGATTGGTTTCTACGCAGACATGAGCCTGATTTTGCACTCTCCAGCTTTAGTAAATCCCAGTTTGTCAGTATTAAAATCAGTTAGTGGCAGTGTGTCTGTTACGGTCAATTTAATTGTCTGTTAGTGTTGGTTAGTGTCAGTGTATTTCGGTAACAAAAAAAAAGGTTTTATATTTAGCATCAATGTGAGTGTTGGCATCAGTGTGTTTAGGTAGGACAAAAAAAATACAAAAACAAAGTACCGTATTTCGCGCTCCATAAGACGCACCTGACCATAAGATGCACCTAGGTTTTAGAGGTGAAAAACAAGAAAAAAAATATTATGAACCAATGGACTGCAGACATAGTACAGGAAATGACCAGAGATTGCGGACACAGTACAGGACATGACCAGAGACTGCGAACACAGTACAGCAGATGACGAGAGACTGCGGACATAGTACAGGAGATGACCGAGACTGCGGACATAGTACAGGAGATGACCAGAGACTGCGGACATAGTACAGGAGATGACCAGAGACTGCGGACATACTACAAGAGATGACCAGAGACTGCAGACACAGTACAGGAGATGACCAGAGACTGTGGACATACTACAAGAGATGACCAGAGACTGCAGACCAGTACAGGAGATGACCAGAGACTGCGGACACAGTACAGGGGATGACCAGAGACTGCGGACACAGTACAGGGGATGACCATAGACTGCAGACACAGTACAGGAGATGACCAGAAACTTCGGACACAGTACAGGGGATGACCAGAGACTGCGGACACAGTACAGGGGATGACCAGAGACTGCGGACACAGTACAGGGGATGACCAGAGACTGCGGACACAGTACAGGGGATGACCAGAGACTGCGGACACAGTACAGGGGATGACCAGGACACAGTAGGGGACTGAGACTGCGGACACAGTACAGGGGATGACCAGAGACTGCGGACACAGTACAGGGGATGACCAGAGACTGCGGACACAGTACAGGGGATGACCAGAGACTGCGGACACAGTACAGGGGATGACCAGAGACTGCGAGACTGCGGACACAGTACAGGAGATGACCAGAGACTGCGGACACAGTACAGGAGATGACCAGAGACTGCGGACACAGTACAGGAGATGACCAGAGACTGCGGGCACAGTACAGAGAATGACCAGAGACTGTGGACAAAGTACAGATGACCAGAGATGGCAGACAGTGCAGGGGATGACCAGAGACTGCAGACAGTAAAGGAGATGACCAGAGACTGCAGACCTTTGGGGAGGGAGGGGGAGCGGGTATCTGAATTTGACAGGTACCCGCTCCCACTTTCGTGGCGTTGTCCTTACCTCTTCTTCCGTGCTGGCTTCTGTGACAGCCGGGTGCCCACTGCGCATGCGCGAGAAGCGCTGCGCTTTGTGAATGGCCCGGCACCTTCTAGGACCTGTCATGTGTCCCAGAAGACACCGGACCATTCACAAAGCGCAGCACTTCTCACGCATGCGCAGTGGGCACCCGGCTGTCACAGAAGCCAGCGCGGGAAGACTGTACAGCTCTGAAGCGAGGAACAGGTAAGGCCCTGCAGGAGAGAAGAGCTGAGCGGCCAGCCCGATATTCTGACATGGTGGCGGCAGAAATACCAGACCGGCCACTTTATATTCGCTCCATAAGACGCACTGACATTTTCCCCCCTTTTTGGGGGGGGTAAAAAGTGCGTCTTATGGAGTGAAAATACAGTATGTACTACTGTTTCTTGGTTTTCAACGTATGGGTGCAAAGAACAAATAATGCACTCAGGTGGTTTCGCCACAATCGTCAGGAGTAGAACCTATTTTGCAGGTTCTTTTGGTAGTGGGTCATGCTAATGGTATGACAAAACAAACACACACACTTAAGTTGAACTGGACGGACTGGTATCTTTACTCAACCTAACCAACTATGTTATTATGTTAATGATTTTGTCTTATTGTCAATAAGCATCTCTTTTAAAGTTGTGTTGCACTGACATTTTCTTTATTCTTATAGTGTTTCTGCTAAGCCTTACACACCATGTTGCTTGAATTCCATAGGTGCTTCTAGTAACCCAATAGATGTGAAAGATAGGTGCATAATTCTGCATGCATTTATTAAAGTACCTCGCCTTGCATTATGAAATAATAGACCTAAATACATCTCTCCCAAGATTTACATACTGTGGTGAACGAGGACCCTCAATTCCTCTGATATAAGCTGAATAATGAAGTGAAAAATCTGTGTAGTCCTTGTAACGCTTTATGAACTGTGGTTGTATCCCCTGTTGCATGCATCTCCTGTTAACAGAGGATTGCGTGTTGATATTCCATTACATATTGAAATTTCCAAAGATTGTTTAGCATCACCCCATGCCTCACAAATTTCATGAAATGGGGCGAGGTCAATCAGGACAGCCTCTACGTGTTTTTTCTGGAAAGGACGTCTTCAAGAAGCCCACCATGTGCCATCATTAGTGCTCCTTATGTACCCTATGCCCATTAACCCAACAAAGGCCGGGACTTTGTTACCACTGGAAAATTCATTAAAAAACTTTTAAAATTCGCATGTATTGGCACCTACGACCTGTACAAAAATAAACTATTGCTAAAATCTGCAGTATTGAAGGAAAAAATGGCGCCTTATGTAGAGATGACAGAATAAAAAGAAAAGACAAAAAAATTGCAAGAGGCACCTAAAAAAAGGTGGATAATGGCACCAAAATTAAAAAACTCAAATATTGGAGACAAGAAGGATTATGCCAATCAGTGAGTTTACAAATGGCAAGAGAATCAGGATCCACCAGGTTCCAACGAATCTTCCTTTGTGGATGATACCAAGGAAAACACACAGATAAAAGAATATACCAAGCCACGATCATTTAGCCCACAAAATCAGAGCAAATCTGCCAATAATGACCAACTCATCTTCCAGAATAGCTCAAAACCAGGGAGGTCCACTTATAACAAATTTGAACCTTTAAGAGAAAATTATTCATATAGGTATTATGTCCACCAGGGAAGGATTGGTTAGTACACATGACCATGGAGAGGTTGAAATAGAGGTACAGGAAATCATACGTGCTACAAACCCACCTAATGTACTCAGGGAACTGAAAAAAGCAAGATCAAGGAGGAGAAAGAAACAATACAGGGGCTGCACAGGCAGCCAAAAAAGAAAAGAGAAAGCCTAGGATGAGGTCTGTTTTAACTTGAGTAATATCACTTCCACTCAGGAAGAATTACTCGTGTTGGATCAAGGCTTAAAATACGCACCACTTAAGAATTTGGATAAATTAACTTACATAGATTTACAAAAATTTACACGCAAGTTCTAAAGAAACCGAATAATCAGGAGAACTTGACCCCTTCGGAACACAAACCTAGTGATAGTACATATAAAAAAACTATGGGGTAATCAGAGTACCAGTTTAAAGAAAAAAAACAGAACTGGCAAATAAAGGGATCAAGAAGAAGGCTTTTCGCAAACAAGAAGGAAGATATTTATGGTTGGATGCCCCTAAGGCTCCAGTAATGTATCAGGTGCAAAAGGTTCATAAGGAAAAAAAACATCCACCTGGGAAGACCCATCATTAGTGGTGTGGAATTCCTTTTCTCCAGAATAGGTGAATAGATAGACCTTTTTTGCAGCCATTGGCCAGTAGGGGACAGTCTTATCTAAAAGACAGTAGGGACTTGATGTCACTGTTAAAACAGGCTAAAGTGAATACAGATAACCTCTTTGTCATAATAGATGTGGAATCCTTGTACATTAATATCAAATAAATGGAATAGCAGCTGTAGCACGGGCACTGGATCAGCAAAATGATTTAACCATTAGCCTACAGGGCACTTATACCCCCTTCCTTCCCAGGCCAATTTCCAGCTGTCAGCGCTGTCACACTTTGAATAACAATTGCACGGTCATACAACATTGTACCCATATGAAATTTGTAGCATTTTTTTGTGACAGATAGAGCTTTATTTTGGTGGTATTTAATCACCTCTGGGTTTTTTATTTTTTCTTAAACCAAAAACCACTGAAAATTTAAAAAAAAAAAAATTTTTCTTAGTTTTTGTTATAAAAGTTTGTAAATAAGTGATTTTTCTCCTTTACTGATGTGCGCTAATGAGGCTGCATTGATGGGCACTGATAGGCTGCACTGATGGACACTGATAGGTGGCACTGATGGGCACTGATGAGGAGGCACTGGTAGGTGGCACTGATGGGCATTGACAGGCATCACTGATGGGCACTGAAAGGCAGCACTGATACATGGCACTGATAGGCAGCACTGTTAGGCGGCACTGACTGGCACTGTTAGGCGGCACTGATGCACACTGTTAGGTGGCACTGACTGGCACTGATTGGCAGCACTGATAGGTGGCACTGGTTGACATTGATAGGTGGCACTGACTGGCACTGGTGGGTGACACTGAAAGGCAGCTCAGATGGGCACTGATATGTGGCATTGATGTGCACTGGCACTGATGAGCACTGACATAAGGCACTGATGAGCACTGATAGGTGGCACTGCTGGGGCTACACTGATCATCAGGGCACACTGATCATCAGTGCCCTGATGATCAGTGTACATGTCACCTCCGCGGAAAGCCGATTTACCGGCTCTCCTCTCGAGCTGTCATCGTGACAGCTCGAGAGGAGAGAAATGCCGAAAACCACTGAAAATTTTGAAAAAAAAAATTTTCTTAGTTTTTGTTATAAAAGTTTGTAAATAAGTGATTTTTCTCCTTCACTGATGTGCGCTAATGAGGCTGCATTGATGGGCACTGATAGGCTGCACTGATGGGCACTGATGAGGAGGCACTGGTAGGTGGCACTGATGGGCATTGACAGGCATCACTGATGGGCACTGAAATGTAGCACTGATACATGGCACTGATAGTCAACACTGTTAGGCGGCACTGACAGGCACTGTTAGGCGGCACACTGACGCACACTGTTAAGCGGAACTGACTGGCACTGATTGGCAGCACTGATAGGTGGCACTGGTTGACATTGATAGGTGGCACTGACTGCCACTGATGGGTGACACTGAAAGGCAGCTCAGATGGGCACTGATATGTGGCATTGATGTGCACTGGTAGGCACTGATGTGCACTGGTAGGCACTGATGGGCACTGGCACTGATGAGCACTGACATAAGGCACTGATGAGCACTGACACAAGGCACTGACAGGTGGCACTGCTGGGGCTACACTGATCATCAGGGCACACTGATCATCAGTGCCCTGATGATCAGTGTACATGTCACCTCCGCAGAAAGCCGATTACCGGCTCTCCTCTCCAGCTTTCAGCGTGACAGCTCGAGAGGAGAGAAATGCCGATAACCGGCATTTCCATGTTTATATGTGATCAGATGTGATTGGACACAGCTGATCACATGACCGAGCCGACATCTTCGGCTCTTTCCGTGATCGGTGATCCGCTGTGTCCAAGGGACACAGCGCACGGCAGATCGCCGCGTTGCGCGCTCCCTGAGCCGCACAAAGGCAGTGAGAATGGGAGGACGTCATATGACGTCCTCCCAGAATGAGAGAACTACCTTGCGCCCATCATATTACTATATGGCGGGCAGGAGGTGGTTAAAAAGGGCCCAGAAAAAGTTTATTCTTGATGCCTTGGATATGGCCCTTAGCAATGTTTTTGTTACAACCATCAGGACTATAACCAGACCAAAGGCATTGCAATAGTAGCTAAATATGCCCCCAGCGTGGCTAAGAGGAAATATACAGTACGGTATGGTCACAGCTGACAGATACAGTATATTGACGATATAGTGTTGGTTTAGCAGGGCACTAAAGAAACATTTCAGGAATTCATGGCACACATAAATCAGAATAAACGCAGTATCAAGTTCAAGCAAGATTAATTTTCTAGATTTTATCATCTTTAAAAATCGAAATATGTTATACACTAGGACTTATTTTAAGGTCATAGATAAGAATGGGGGGGGGGGGGGGGGGAGAGAGGGGGGGGGGAGGAGGGGAGAGAGAGGGGGGGGGGGGGGGAGAGAGGGGGGGGGGGGAGAGAGGGAGGGGGGGAGAGAGGAGAGGAGGGAGAGAGGAGGGGGAAGGAGGGGGAGGGGGAAAGAGAGAGGGGAGAGGGGGGGGAAGAGAGAGGGGAGAGAGGGGGAAAGAGAGGGGGGGGAGGGGGGGAAGAGAGAGGGGGAAAGAGAGGGGAGAGGAGGGGGAAAGAGAGAGGGGGGAGAGGAGGGGGAGGGGGAAAGAGAGAGGGGGAAAAGAGAGGGGGAGGGGGGGGGGAAAGAGAGAGGGGGGAAAGAGAGAGGGAGGGAGAGGGGGAAAGAGAGAGGGGGGAAGAGAGAGGGAGGGAGAGGGGGGAAGAGAGAGAGGAGGGGAGGGGGAAGGAGAGGGGGGGGAGAGAGGGGGGGGGGAGAGAGGGAGGGGGGGAGAGAGGGGAGGGGGGGGGAGAGGAGGGGGAAAGAGAGAGGGGGGGAGATTGATCATCTATTGCACTTATCTAGGGTCCATGGCCGTGATACCCGACATGCAGCGATGGAGTGGAGTCTCCTCTCTTGCTCCCCTTGCTCCTGGTGTGGGTTCATAAGCCGAGCCCACCTTCCCCTGTTCTAGAATTGCTGATTCCCGCCCCCGCCCTCCTGCCTCCCGCCCGAGCCCTGCCAAGCTCTCCCGACCTGCCAAACCCTAGTCCCTTGCCTCGCGGCAGATACGCCCCTGCCCCGGCGGACCGGATAAATGTACTCGGCGGGCCGCATGTGGCCCGTGGGCCGTAGTTTGAGGACCCCTGCTTTAGAGTGACTCATAATAGGAACCCTAAACATTTGACATTTTTAGGGATAAATAGAAAAAAAATAAATCTGCGCTGTATCAATAAATTAAATAATAAAAATAGTAATCAAGACTGCTGCAGCCTTAATATTTGAATACCAAATGTGCCAATAAATGTGCTCATGTGCCAATAAAAGTGCTCATGTGCCAATAAATAAAAATAAAGTACAAAAACAATGCATATAAGAATCTGTGCTAAGCAATTCCTATAAAAGTTCATAAAAAAGCAGTGTTAAACAATTAATATGAAAGTTTATAAAAAATCCATGGAATCCCAGTGCTAGGGCTCTGCTTGTGAAAACGGTTGCTTCAAAATATATCACCACCTCCACATGTGCTTCTACCACTACCTGTGCTCACTCCTTACCAGACGTTAACTTCCAGACTATAAGGCTCCATGTACACAGGACACGTCTGAACGATGGAAACTGACTGCTGGAAAATGTAGGTTAAAAAACATCTTTTAGCTGTGTTTACATACCGTGTTTATGAGCGTTTGCGTTTAGAAGCATTTTTTAAAGATAACATCAGGAGACCTTCCAAAATGCACAGAATACACTGAAAAAAACAGTAAAAAAATTTACTATTTCAGACGTTTTGAGAGAAATAGAAAGAGCAGAAGCTGATAGAGCAGTGTTTGTTGAGATTAGCTGTCTTTTTTTTTTGTGGTGTTTGGATGTGTTCCAGCTCATTTCTGTGCAGAAATTATTGCAGCAATGTCTAACATATTTTCTTTCATGCGAAACCTCAAAGTATGGCGTACCAGGTCCATTTGAGTACCAAGAAAATGCTTTGCATGCATTTTTCATGATGAAAAAGGCTCTGGACAGCATCTGGAAAAGGAAGAGTTAAAAAAAAAAAAAAATGCAAACGCTTATAAACGTGGTTAGCTGCTTTTACATGCGTTTACACGCATTTACAAGCATTTGACATTTGAAACGCTGATAAAATCTACTCCGGAACGCAAGCTTGGTGCATTCAAAAAAACGACTGTAAACTCAACTGCCTCTAAATGACTGTAAACGACTATATGTACTTGGACACATAGGGAAACATTAGGGAGAGTTCAGGGGCTGCTGAAAAAAAACGCAGAAAAGCTCCTAAACGTGAGTTTATCAGCTGCAGTGTACATGGAGCCTAAGAAGTTAAAACTAGCATGAGAAGAGACTCCCTATGATCTTGGAGGCAGCAAACCAGCTCATCAACCATGCCAGCCTGATTCCCCACTAGGTGGCTCTCACAACAGCTCCACAACTTTCTTGCATCTGCAACTCAGGATACATATATCACTCAAAGGAATAAACTCCATGACCCAGTATCTTTGAAAAACACAGGATTTATTTTAGGATAACTTGCTCACACAGGTATCAATATATCAATCATGTACAAACAGCGCCGCCGCCCCATCAGTAATCTGTACATGCATAGTGAAGCACGAGAGGTGGCACATTGAATAACAATTGGAAGCACTGATTGGAGTAATGAGTTTACTCATTCTTACTGAGTGGACTTTAGAGCACATATTGGACCTTTTTTTTTTTTTTTTTTTTTTTTTCCTCCTATTATAATTTTTATTCTGGTTTTTGGAAATTTGCCATGGTATGTGGAAAAATGCACTGTATATGAATATTGTAATATAGATGATACACTTGAATTTCTTGGGAGACAATTGAACATATGAACTCGCACAATATTTTAGGTAATCTATTTTGAGTAATTCTTGAGCACTGCTTCACTTTAAGTTGTTAGTTCTTTGTGTGCAACCAAAAGGGAGAGCATATTTAAAACAGCTGCTGGGATATACTGTATAGTACACACTCACCCATAGCTCCGGCAACACACGTATAACTATTAAATTGTATCAGTTGTTCACCTTATGATTTTTTTTTTTTACCATGCCAAAAAGATAGACATAGCGAGTAACAATGATCGTTGGGAAAAGAAAACCGACAGAGTGGTTGTACAGAAGACTATTGATAGATTGACTTCTGTACAACCAGGATGCCCATACGTGGATCGAAATGTAACTGGTTCCTTCTGAACAGGCCAAATTTTGATCCATGTATGGCTGACTTTAGTCTACTGTAACATTAAATAATGGTAATAATGTACCCCATTCATTTTAGTCTTTTATTTTTCCTATTCAGGGAGCTAAAAGAATAAAAATAAGTACATTTTTTTAATGTTATACTTTACTATGTTTATGAAGAAGTAAGCTGCCTGCAGTCAAGAATAATGATGGATTTGTAAACATGGGAACAATTACATGGTTTGTGTTATAAGGTGACTATTTTTTGTGTTTGTGCTTAATAAAAGGAAGCCCCATTCAGAACCAAAAAGAGAGAAGGAGCCTAAGAAGCCTACAATTAAAAAGCCTTTGAATGCCTTCATGTTGTACATGAAAGAGATGCGAGCAAAAGTAATTGCGGAATGCACCTTGAAAGAGAGTGCAGCCATCAACCAGATTCTTGGAAGGAGGGTGAGTTTTTTTATAGCAAAAGAATGTGTTTTTTTTTTTGTTTTTGTTTTTGTTTTTCTTCCCAGCTGTGACCTCTTAGCCTAGGGCAGCACAATGTAAGAGGTGTCAGGTATTTTGTTATAGATAGTTTGCTTAGACACTCCAAATGACAAATGGATACAACATCAGCTCCTGAATGATCCCCACTTTGCCAGCAGCCAGGCATACCTGCACTTTGCAAGGAAAAGTGGTGACATCATGAAGTTTGT